AGTCCCGAGCTGTAATAATTATACAGGTTTGAGAACAGCGAGTAATTTTGTTATAAAATAGAAGATTTTGATTTTTAAAGGCGGTTTTCCACTAAACGGACAAAACAAAAACAAAACACAAACTTGTGTCGAATAAAACAGAACTGTAACTTTTCGCAAACTTTTTGAAGACTAGCGTGTTTTGCGACAGTTGGAGTTTTGTTCTTCGGGTCCCGCTTCAAAAAGGCGATTTTCTACTAAACGGACAAAACAAAAACAAAACACAAACTTGTGTCGAATAAAACAAAACTGTAACTTTTCGCAAACTTTTTGAAAACTGGCGTGTTTTGCGACAGTTGGAGTTTTGTTTTTCGGGTCCCGTTCGAAAGCGGTCACTTCAAAAGGTTTCGACGTGTTTTGAAACTCAAGTCTGTTTAGTGGAAACAGTCATGTTGTGTTTTCTATTTAAGTGATCCGACCCAATATCTATGTTGGTGTTTTCTTCTTCCCAAAAACAATATTTTAATCATTAATGAATTATAGCTATTAAAAAATTAACTTGTATACGTGTTTATTTGGCTAGGATACAAAGTAACCAAGTAAATACTTTAACCGTACATATACCACGAACTCCATCGATGGATATCTGGGAAACCGCTCGAAAGATTTTTTTGAAATTGTGATGGTGTGATACGGACTGTGGAAGCCTACCAAGCTAAAATATTTTCAAGGTCATCGTATTTTCGGTTATACCGGAAATTGATACTAACTTTCTTATTTTAAATGGAACCCCCTGTATATTATTGCAAAAAGTTAGGGGTTTCCATTTGAAAATTTCGAGTTTTCCACATATTCTGAACTTGATATTCGATAAAAAATTTTTGACCACCCTGTATAAAAACGAAACTTTTCATGTCAAATTCGATAAAGCAGGTCTTCCTCTACAAAATGTCCAATTTGCATGAAAAAATAAACCGGGAAAACGAAATTTTGCTAACAGTCTGCATCTGTTAATTTTTGTTTCAAAATAGAAATATCTCGGAAACGGTCAATCCTAAGTATGGAGTGTGCTATATGTTTTCAACTTAAAAATGGATGATGTTTCCAAAAATGCAATAATATACAGAGGGTTCCGTTTAAAATAAGAAAGTTAGTATCGATTCCGGTATAACCGGAAGTACGATGACCTTGAAAATATTTTAACTTGGTGGGCCTCACGGCCACACCATCACAATTTCAATAAAATCCTTAGAGCGGTTTCCCAGATATCCATCGATGGAGTTCGAGGTGGGACACTCTGTATACATTTACTTTTCTTCCAAGGACTTCAGTATAAACCAGCCATAACTAGGAATAAAAAAATCTTCTCTAAACATGTTGGTTGTTTATTGGAAAAATGTGTTCTGACTTCCTCGCGACAACCAGTGGAAAAGGACCGAAAACAAAAACAAAACTCGAACAAAATGTAGCCTGCTTGATGGAAACAAGAGTTTTGGGTTTGTTTCAGTTTTGTTTTTGTTTTTGTTATGTCCTAGAAAACACAAACAGGACATAAACTCAACTGTCCGTTTAGTGGAAAACCCCATGCATTTGCACCATTTCAACATTTCAATAATTCACCAATATTAACGAAATTGTAAAAATAAGATATCACAGTGAACAAATTTGAACGACAAATACTTCAAAATGTCAGAAATGGAAGTGACACATTCCAGGACAACTAGGTTATTGCAAAATTGTATTCAATAATTACATTAATTTATTACGGATAATACATTTTTTTTTCTTTATCCGAAAACGGCGCATCGCAGGACAGAAACTCAAGTGAGCTCTTATCTTTCGAATAGTAGGGGCTTTCAAAAATAATTTTATTTGAAGTCAGTTCTTGTATGCACACCACTGTTAGAGCTATAAATTATGTTTGTATTGAAAAACATGCGCCTTTATGCTTTATCACTACGTACTAAATATCACTGAAATATCTCAAGCGGTTTCGAACCTATTAATTAATTTCCTTCTTTTTGCTAAAATTTTAACACCCTGTATTTTCGTAATGGAACATTTTTGGGCCATAGTTTATAAAGCGAACTACCATTAATTTTCCATGTAGAATCACACCCTTAAATATTCGCATATCATTAAGGAATACCCTGTATAAGTTTGGATATTCGATACATTCTCATGAAATTCATATTTTTAACAGTTTATTACGTAATAACCCGATTGTCTTGATTTAAAATAATGCAATAATCCAATTTAGATTTTTTTTATAATACAAATTGATTAAGGTANTAAACATGTTGGTTGGTTATTGGAAAAATGTGTTCTGACTTCCTCGCGACAACCAGTGGAAAAGGACCGAAAACAAAAACAAAACTCGAACAAAATGTAGCCCGCTTGATGGAAACAAGAGTTTTGGGGTTGTTTCAGTTTTGTTTTTGTCTTTCAGGTTCTAGAAAACACAAACAGGACATAAACTCATCTGTCCGTTTAGTGGAAAACCGCCATAATGCATTTGCACCATTTCAACATTTCAATAATTCACCAATATTAACGAAATTGTAAAAATAAGATATCACAGTGAACAGATTTGAACGACAAATACTTCAAAATGTCAGAAATGGAAGTGACACATTCCAGGACAACTAGGTTACTGCAAAATTGTATTCAATAATAATTACATTAATTTATTACGGATTATATAATTCATTCGAAATTTAGCCAATAGCAATTACAAATTTTACGTAGTTACTATGTATTGATAAGCGATTATACTCTTGACGACGTGGTATAACCGTTTTGGTGTTTCGCCTCCTCCAACAATGTGAACTATGTCAGGTAATGATAGTTTTAACATTTGTCAATAAACGTCAAAAAAAAAATGGAACTCTTCGGTTCAAGCTCTGAATTATATAATCGTATCGAATACCACTCGAGCAAACGAAAATATTCGATTATACTAACCTCCTCACTCGACGTATATCCTTAAAACACCACTCCAGCTACGCTGTCGTGGTGTTTCGCAGAATACGTCTCGTGACTCGGAAGTATAATCGAATATTTTCTATGTTCTTGTGATATTATAACTGATAATACGTTTTTTTTTTACCCGCAAACGGCGCATCGCAGGACAGAAACTCAAGAGAGCTCTTATCTTTCGAATAGTAGGGGGCTTTCAAAAATAATTTTATTTGGGAAAAAGCCATTGGCGTTCCATTTTTTTCTATAAAAATATCAAAGTCAGTCCTCGTATGCACACCACTGTTAGTGCTATAAATTATGTTTGTATTGAAAAACATGCGCCTTTATGCTTTATCACTACATACTAAATATCACTGAAATATCTCAAGCGGTTTCGAAACTATTAATTAATTTCCTTCTTTTTCCTAAAATTTTAACACCGGGTATTTTCGTAATGGAACATATTTGGACATAGTTTATAAAGCGAACTATCATTAATTTTCCATGTAGAATTACATCCTTAAATATTCGCATATCATTAAGGAACACCCTGTATAAGTTTGGATATTCGATACATTCTCATGAAATTCATTCATTCATTTTAACAGTTTATTACGTAATAACCCTATTGTCTTGATTTAAAATAATGCAATAATCCAATTTAGATTTTTTTTTTATAATACAAATTGACGTCAAATCATTATTTTGAGGTCAATCGGTTAAGGTACTAGGAGTTTTAATTTTCAGTTTTATAGTCATTAGTCAATCATATTGGGACATCAACATCAGATCATGGAGCCTTGTTTGTAATACCTTAAGCCAAAGTTTCATTAAAATATACATGTTGATTTCAAATTTAGAACCCAAAACGTCAATCTCCAAGTACCCCTGTGGTTCTCGATATCTCCCTTGGGAGGAACGATAAGAAAAAAGTTATAGGAAGTCCTAGTATTACATTGATTTTCCCTGTATATTCTCGAGATGTTAGCAGATATGTACCGGACACTTGTACAATTAATAATAATAATGATAATAATAATCCCTACTCCACATTCTAATTGCAAGGGTTAGTCCATAAGTTGGACACTTGTGTGGGAGAGAGGGTGGTATATTACTTTTCTTTTTGTAGATATACGTATCTTGTTGGGCTAAATATTAACACTATTGGATTTTTATGAAATTTTTGGTACAACAATCTGATTTTTTAGGTATATAAACATTTACAATCTGCAATGCTGCGCTCATCATCCGAGATGAAGACACCGCCCTGGTGGCAAGAGGAAGTTGAAAAGTGGAGGAATGATAAAACAAAAAATAAATTATAATTATGGTATGTTTTCCTTAATGCCTTACGAAATGTGTTACATTTCTGTTGCAATAGTGGGAGTATTTTAATATAGAGTTTTCCTTTTAACACAATGTAGAACGCAAAAAGTAGGAACATATTTCAATTAACTTATATTTAAAAAATTTAAAGATAAAAAACACTAACAATTTAATTGAAATAAGTCCGAGTCTGCTTAAGGATGTTCAAAGTTATCACCGATGCTTCCTTTTACACAAACTTAACGACTATTCGTTATAGCTGTTTTACATTGACAATTTATCGATCGATTAATTCATGAAGTCGCTTCATCAAGAAATTGGACAAGTGTAATGCATCAAGTTCTTGATGAATTAGAGCATGTTCTAATTTTTGTCAATTTCTTCGTGAAGTTCGGAAGCACCAACCCAATATGTGTCAGAACGGTTCCGCTGTTGTTATCACTACAATTATGAGTGGAAAGGTGACATTTTTGAAATTTATTTGCATCTTTGATTCGTTGGTAGGACTGATTCACGCGTCAAAAACTTGATAAAGTCTGTAGCAGTGTAAAACCACACTGTTTTCCAATAAATTCGTGAATTAATTCATGAAGAACTTCGTCAATTTATTCATCAATAAATTGTCAATGTAAAACAGCTATTAGAAGCGAGGGTTATCCTAAATTATTTCTGTAGCGTTTCTATGCGTTCACATAATTTTTCCAAGAATACAGGGTGTGCCATTTAACACTCCCGCTGCCAATATCTCCGAAATGAAGAAATTTATTTTAGTTCCGGAAATTGGGGTTGTTAGGCCCCTCGAATAGCTTCAAATTGTAGTTAGAACTGTTAGTTCAAATCTTTCTGTATAGATGGCGTGGCGATATTAAAAAATTATTTGATCCCTGGAACGTGGAAATGTAGTCCATGTCGACTTCAAAATGCAATGTATGGTGTAACAGGAACATCTATTATTTTATTTAAATCACACTGACAAAATATTTTTTTTAAATATTGTTATAATCGCTTTATTTACATCACATACTAACTAACAATCAATAAATTATAAAAAAAACAAATGATCAACTCCAGAAAAAAAATTGTCCAGAGACGAACTGTATTTTATCAAATGTTATTAAAAAAAGAAAACATAGGTGGCGCTCATGTCATTTGTTTAAAATAAAACATGTATGACAGATGACACATATTAGTTTTATTTATTTATTTATTTATTTAATCAATTTCAGTTTTCCAATAATTACAGTTTTATCAGCTTGCGTGTTTCAATTTAATTTAATAAGATTAATCATTTTACAACAATTGTTTTTCTGTAGTTGATCATTTGTTTTTTTATAATTTAATGTATGTGGTGTGAATGAAGTAATTATAATAATATTTTAAAAGAATATTTTGTCTCGGTGTGATTTAAATGAAATAATTGATGTTCCTGTTACATCATACATTGCATATTGAAGTCAACATGTCTCGAAAACAAATAAATATTGGGGAAAACTTTATATTATAAAAATGATTCAAAATTTAACGATCTTTCAGATAGACTGCGTTTCCACGTTCCAGAGATCAAACAATTTTTTAGTATCGCCACGCCATCTACACAGAAAGATTTGAACTAACAATTCTAACTACAATTTGAAGCTAGTTGAGGGTCCTAACAACCCCAATTTCCGGAACTAAAATAAATTTCTTCATTTCGGAGATATTAGCAGCGGGAATGTTAAATGGCACACTCTGTATATCGATAAGTCTCTCGAAACATCAAAAACCCTAATCAGCCCGGATATTTCTCAGCCATTGGCAACCGCGTACAAACTGAGATTTTTGGTATCAGTTGTTAGATCTTCGATTGTATCTAAAACATCTGCAATCTGCGGCGTCTTAGCTGACTTAGGCCTTCTGTCACTTTCCTGTTCTGCGGGATGGAATCGAAAAGGAAAATTCTCGACATACAATAGCGATGCTATGGCGTCATTTCGGCTACATATCCCATATACTAATCTGTCACGACTGTAACTATGGTCCATTTCAAACACTGAAATTATGTAATGTATTGTTATAAACGTAAATAAGAACCGCTATCATGAGACTTTGCATAATAAAAAGGAAAGCGATTAAGTAATTAATTTCTTTGTTTGACTCGTCCTTTGTGTAAGAATTGACTATTACATTTTAAGATTTTCGAGGAACATCCCAAGTTAAAAAACACACTGTATATATATTTATGTCCTTCTACTCACACACTTCACATGTTGGATCAATTTCAATGTCAAACTCAAAGGTTGACATGGGTCAAATAAACAAGATTTATGTGGGTCGCAAGAAAAAAGAGGAAAACTTCAAAATCAATTTTCATGAAAACATAGGTGTATTTTGACAAATAGAGTATAAAAAAAACCACATACGATGTAATTAATTTTTAAGTGATTATATTGCTGGAAACAACTACTTTGGGCTATATGCCCTGACCAGCATTGAATTACACCAACAATAACATTAAATACAGCCAGGATCATGCATTGGCTGTATACACCAAACAAATACCGGTTTCAGACTTGTTAGCCCACATCAGTATACCATAGGTGCGACAACTGACCAAGAACATCTTTTGTTTGACAATTTCTGCTACTATCTTTCCTCCTTCAGGAAAAATCTTTGTTCGTGGCGATCACTTTCAAAACTGATGGGAGACTTATTCTATTCACCGATTTCATATGTGAATTTTCAATTAGTTTAAAACATGTTCTGTAAATATATGTAAAATTCCTCGGGTATGTCAACTTCACTAAATTTTTTCCTCAATTACCTACNTATGGCACTCATGTTAGCCAGATTGGAGTAGGAGAGGGGACGTATTGGATGCTGGGACCCATGACGTTCAGGTGAGGAAAAAGGAATCTTTCAAACTATGAACCGAATATCCAGTTTTGTACTCATGCGATTGTAATTTCCGAAGTGGTTATCTAACTTTATCTATATGTACATTACATACATACCTACATTTACTGTTTATAATTTTGTTATGCAAACATCATAAGTATTTAAATGTGAATATTTATTAAAATTCTTTGAATTGAAAAACTCGTGAGATCATTTATTGTAAATAAATATTCGAAAAAAGTTGAATATTTTTATATAATTACTACTAAGATTTAAAAAATGGAAAAATTATAGATATCCCATACATCAAAAGCTGAAATTTGTTAATACAATAGCTAATTTAATAAGTTAAATGAAAAAAATACTCAGCTTTATATTTAGTGAGGGAAAAGTGCTCAGCTGATAAAGTTAAAGATGCAACGCCCCGCGCTTATAGCGATGTGCTGCGCCTTCAACTCGTCAGCTGAGCACTCATACACCACAAAAACTTCAGCGGACCATTTTTTTCGTATAACTGGTTAAGTTGACTATTACTTTACCAAATTTCAACTTTTGCGGTATCAGTTTACCTAGCGCATATTTTTGACTTCTTTAGGTGAAAAGCTGAGGCATAACCCCCCACTCTAAAGTCAGCGGATAGCGTTTTTTCTTTTGTTTATAACATAATTAACTTGTCAACAAAGTCTCAGCTTTTGCGGTATTAGTTTTTTTATTTTATTATTTTACGTGTTTGGGAGGCTGCCGCAGCTACACCCCCCAGAAGCGCGCGAGCTGGAGGTCATTTCTCTTACGAGTGACAGCAAATGAAGCGTAGGAAAACTTTTCAGCTTTTGCTCTTTTGGTCATCAAAAAAGGTCGCTGGCTCTCGGGCTATTACATTGTAGGGCTCAATATTTAACAAAAATTGTATAATATGTTTTTTGAATAAATTTACACTCTGTATCTGTTTAAGTGACGCTAGTAAACAATTGAATAATTTAATACACATGTAATGTGCATTCTTTTCTGTTAGAGTTAGTCTGTGATATGGGTACATTAGATTTAAATTTCTTGTATTATACTGAGATGATGAGTCTGTCATAAAATTATTCCAGTTTTTCCTTACATACATTAAGCACTCAAAAATATACAGGGCCGATATAGTCATTATTTTGCTATTCCTAAATACCGATCTACAAGATTGGATGTAAGACATATTATTGATAATTCTTATAATTCTTTTTTGAATGACAAAAATTTTTTCTGTATGTCACTGCTATTACCCCAAAACATAATTCCATATTTACAAATAGATTCGAAACTACCTAAGTAAATGATTTTTGTAGATGTACTCTTTACATATTTACTAATTACCCTGATTCCATATATTACTTTACTTAATTTAGCAGCGAGTTCATCTATATGTTTTTTCCAATTTAAGTGTTCATCTAGATGCAGTCCTAGAAATTTTGTACTACTTGCTAATTCTGCTATCTGATTGTCCAGTATGATATTGTTAGGTCAATAACTTATCGATTCCACCCCAAACGGGACCTTGCCTCTCCTTCCTATCGGGATCAAGGTCAATTAGAGGTCAGATTGAGGAAAAGTGTATTAAATCAAAGGATCTCGGAGTTTAGGTTTTTTTGGGTCTGTGAGTCCGACTCGGAGGTTAGTTTGCGTTTTAAGGTTGTTTCAAGGTCAAATTGAGAAAATGCCGAGTAATCAAGTCCAATTATATATTTGGAGATTTTGGGGTCGCCGAGTTCGAATCTGAGGTCATGGTGTCTGTATCAGGTTATTTAAAGGCGAGGATGATCTTTAAATGACCTGATACAAACTAACCTTATATTCTAACCCAGCGACCCCAAAATCCTGTATAACAGGTAGTTGGACTTGATTGCTTGGCTTTTTCTCAATTTGATCTTGAAATGACCATGAAACAACCTTAAAATGGCCGGATACAGACAAACTAATTTCCGAGTTGGACTCACCGACCCAAAAAAACTCCGAGATACTTTGATTTAATACACTTTTCCTCAATCTCGCCTCTAATCGGCCTTTATCCTGACTAGGAAGAAGGGGAGAGGTCCCATTTGGGATGGAATCGATTGGAATTGGATATAAATAATAAACAAAATATTGTCTTTTTTTGGCCAAAAACCAGCCTAATCGACCCTCCCCCTTTATTAAAAATTAAAATTTCTATCTACTCTAATTGGTGCTTACACAATGCATATTTAAAGCAAAAAGTACAATAATTATTATTATTTAAATACAATGTTAAAAACAAAATATGTGATCTGTTGCAGGTAGGTTTAATGTCACGGCAAGGTCTGGTTTAATACTAGCATGTCTTGTCGCATAAATCTTTATGGATGGTGTTGGTGACATTTGGGTGTCGTTTTGGTGATTTTCACTTGTTAACTCTTTTAACTGCATCTTCACTTTATAGCGATAACGAGGAGGCATAATCGGAATCTACAATACACAAAATTAATTAATAAGTGGTTATAATTTAGCAAATAAGATTTAAATGTATTCTCGTTTCTCTTGGGTTGTTAAGGAAAATGGAATAAAAGGACCTGTTGAAAATAAATAGAGTATTATTTAATAATTATGTAGCCAAGAGGGGTAACCTGAAATAACCAGATTTCTATGAATACTCTATTTGAAGATATTCAAAATATTCGATTTCAACTTGAAAAAGAGGTCTACAGAAAATCGTTGCACAATGGAAGGTCTTTCCCAGTAAATTTGTATATGTATATGCTAGAGTAACGATACAACCATCAAAACAAGACAAGGTCTGGACTATGCTTTAGCTGCATTTTGAGGACACTCCATGTAATTTAATTAACACATTAGTTTATTCTTTTCGTAAATTTATGCCATTCAAAAAATTTACCAGAACAATAAATAAATAATAATTTTGCAACTCTTATTTAGTTGATTTTTAGTAAAATTACTTGTTTCTATAAAGTCAAATTTTAGTAAATGATAAATAATACAAAATGAGGCTACTAATTATAAGTACAATTTCCATATTCCAATTTGTTTAGTAACATACAAACTATGAATTTGATTCCAGCCAAAATATACTAAATAACAATTTCTCCAAAGTGAATATTCTGAAAGCAGTCAACAAATTCTCCCTACGGTTTAAATAAGACAAAGAAGATAAGAAAATAATACTTACTTTTATCACGTTTGGAGACATGTAGGAAACATATGGGTTTTTATGAAATATCACTGACAATTCTTTAATACATTTTGTAACACTGAAATTTTCCAAGATTAATATAATTATGAATTTAGGTCCTAAGCCCAATACCTAAAAATTAATTCATCCCTATTATTCAGCTTTTTCTCTATTATAAAATTATTAATTAAGGTAATTCAGATAAATTAAAAATATATTTTCCTAAAAACACTTCTATATCAACTAAGTAACTAAGTAAATAATATTTTTATTATATTTATATTTATTAATTCCATTAGTATATAATAAGATCGTTCTACATATAGCAGCAGGACCAACATCATCAATTTAAGAAAAGGTGCTTCAAAAAGACGGTAATAAAAGTGGTAAAGGATAGCTTATAAACTCAATAACTTAATCAGTAACGTACTTATAAAATAATGCTATATATAAGCCATAGAAAAAAAAGATATATCTCTGATTTTTCTTAAAATAAAATTTGGTAGAGAAAAGGTATTTTTACTGTTTTTCTTATGACGCACCGTTTTCGAGTAAAAAAAATAAAATCGATTTCATGGCGTAATTCGGTTTCAATAATTTCAAAAATAGTAGAAATTATGCACTTAACTGCTTCACACTCAAAGTGGCAACCATTATTAATTTTGTCAAACAATAACAAAAACGAGTGCACAGCCAACTTGATAATTTCTGTTTAGATAGTAAATAGTGAATCTAAAAACTGATAAAAATTTTTGAGACATGTTAACTGCGAGAAATAATTTTTTGTAATAAAATTGGTACAAAAAAGAGCTGATTGCATAATTTCTGCTATTTTTCAAATTATTGAAACCGGATTACGTCATGCAATAAATCGATTTTAATTTTTTTACTCGAAAACGGCGCGTCATAAGAAAAACAGATAAGATACCTTTTCTCTTCCAAATTCAACAAGGAATCCAAAAATCATTTTTTATTTTAAGAAAAATCAGACGTGCCTGTGTACTGGTGAAACTGAAAACAATATTTTTATCGTAAAACATGTATTGTTGTTAATTGTCAAAGTTTGTAAAATTTCACCAAAAAAAAATTCTGAGCGGTTTCCGCCATATTTATAAATTTGCATTTTTTTAGTAAAACTTTATTACCCTGTAGTTCAGAAACTAAGCTTTTTCGGAATATGGTATATTAAGAAAATATATCACAAATCATTTGCACTGTAACTTTCTGCAAGGAATACATCAACTTACCAAACACCCTGTATATGACATCTCAATTTAGCCAACCATCTCCGTAACTACCGACCGGGTTGAATTTGGTAATAATTTCGTTAATGTAAACATAAACTACATTATCTGTGTCTGTACGTGTACGTGTTTCATAATAAGAGCAAGTTTATGTTAAGTAGTTCTTATCATAGACACAATATGCGATAAAATATGGATTTTCATTTGCCATTTGCTCGAATAAAAATGACAGCTAACTCTCCCGACTGCTTGTCGGGAGAGTTAGCTTAGTTGATATATAATAAACTACCTGAGGAACTTAAATCAATGCAAAGTGTATAATTATTTAAGGGCGCTCTAAAGCAATTTTTATTGGAAAAATGTTATTATACTGTTTCGGCATTTTTGCCTACTCCGTCTTAATTTGTAAGTCTTGACTATTCCTATACATGTATTAGTGTCTTTAAGGAAAATAAAGTATTATTATTATTATCTGACGCAAATTATTGTCATGACGGCATTACTTACCTTTGCTTCTATTTTGAACTCCTCTTTATTTTCTAAGTTTTCGATGCAATTAACTAGTTCTGAAGCATTTTTCAATCTTAGTCGCATTAGATCTTGTTGAAAGAACTGGTGCATATCTGGAATTAATTTATATACCTTCAACCATTCTGCTGGATATACAGGGTGTAACTTTGAATGGAGGTCATATTTATAAGTAGGCTACCTTTGACCTTTAGAAACACGTATCATAAGTTTGTTTGCTCAAATGCACACTTGGGAACTGTGATACGCATTGTTGTCAAATTTAATAATTTAAAGAGAAGGTATTAAAGAGAAAATTTTAATAAAAAAGTAAATTTCCACACCACCAGCCTTATGCTGTTTTATGACACATTACATTTATCTTCCCACATAAATCAAAATTCAATTCTTTTAAACAAGATAAACTATGAAAAAGTCAGAGAACTGACACAATAATAAATGATGAAAAAAAAAAATGAAAACAAAAATACACTGTACCTCACTAAACACTAAAAAATTATTTTATTAAAGTTATACACTTACAGTAGGTACTTAAACCCCTTTTTGTAAACTGAATTGAAAACTAGAATAAAAATGTAACAAAGTGAAACAGTGATGACGTATTCGGCCATTCCGGTTTCGCCGTATTAATGTGGCGGTTTGTTTTTTATCCGTTTACCTTCCTGTCATATCGCACAGGTGTGAAGTAAACTGGCAGTTTCGCATTTTCAGAGGCGGCAAGCGGCATTTTAACTGAGCAGCGGAGGCCAACCTCAATTGCTCTTCGTAAGCATTCAGAACAGAATTGGATTCTGCTTAAATTTAAACTGTTCATGATTTAATCATTGTCATTGAGATTATCAAATTAAATACATGCGATACGATATATATATCGTATTGATCAGATGAGTACCTACGTATTTTTATTTATATTTTTAAAATACCAAAAATATTATTTTATAACAAATTAGTTTTATTTACAATTAGTTACATATTTGCGTATCAACATTAGTCCAGTTTTTTTTTTTTTTTTTGAACAAGAAATTGTTTTTTTAATGTTCGGCGCTTCGTCTACATTGATATCACAAAAATATGGTAACTTTACATTAACACGTCGCTAAAGCATACAGAAGCAATATTGTACTACATTATTTTCCACTGCCGCATGCCGATCTCTAACAGTTGATTTAAATAAATCAACTGGCAGCGCTGCTAGTGCACTGACACAAATTGCCACGCTAGTTTCTGGTGGCCCGCTTACGCTTACCACTGACTGAGTGGTCAAGAATTAATGTGCAGTTCAGGAAATTAATTGAGGCGGTGAAATTAAGAACAGTACAAGTCCAAAAATGGGAATTTTTATATGTAACAGCCATTTAGAATTAAAATTCGAAGCTGCATCGAATGAGTGGAAGAACAGTACTAAAATCACCTTGCTAAGGCGCTTGCCAGCTCTTACCGTGCAGCATTGGAAGTAAGAACAGTACAAGTCCAGGACATGTGTACTGTTCTTATTCTCAACAGAACAGATGGCGTTGTTGATTTACCTACTATATGCCCTAAAAATATAATAAGACAATTTAGGACCACCCTGTATATACACTAGCTAATACTTTTCAGAACTTTTGCAGCAAATAAGAAGTAAATGAAGAAAAAATGGAACATGAGATTACACGAGGATGAAAGTTAAATAAAACATTGGCCATACATACCTGTTGCAATATTTCTCTCCCTTAAACTTTGTTCCAAAAATAATTTACTTCTCTTTGGAAGCGGTATTGGTTTACATTGAAGTAAAGGGACATTTTCCTTAAATCTTACATTGAAATCTGCTGTTCGTTTAAGGATTTTATAGGTCACAGTACCAGCTGAAAAATAAAGAAAATGATTTCAAATATTATCCACAGCACAAATGTACCTACACATAAATTCTATTACGGCCAATAAAGGTTTTTTGTCATATTCTAAATAACATATTTTTTCTAAAACTTATTAGTGTCATAAGTAATTTGGGCAAATAAACCGGAATCAATGTGTTTTGTTAGTTTTACTCTAATACTGCATTACGGTTTGTATGTTTTGGTGGTTAACGTTCTGAAGGGCAAAAGAGAGCCTATTAATAATGTAATAATCTTCTGAAAATTATGTACCTAGGGTAACTACTACCATTACGTTCTCTTCTTGGCCCAATTGACCGAACGTAATAGTTGACGGAGTTTCAGGAACTGTTGTATAATCCACGACAACTCGTCCATGGTATAACTGTATCGTACCACCTCTTAATCCCACGGCAATTAGATTGACATTCAGATGACATATAGGTACTAAACAAAGACATACCACCTGACTCGCAGTTTTGATTGACCACAGATTTTGACCCTGGAAATGAACGATTTTAAAATTTGCGAATACCAAATAAATACTACTTACACGTTTGGTAAAGCAGGACAATGTTTTTTGACTAGTGGCGACAACAATAAAATTATCCCCAGGTACAATAACAAGATCGACAATGTCATGTAGAAATTCTATAATTAATTTTCCTTCTAACCACCCTCTCATTAAAATACAAATATACCCTTCTCTGCAACCTATTACAATTTTATATTCGACATCGAAAAGGCCTATTGAACTGATTACAAAGGGAGTCGACGTTCTACTACATGTATTTGCCTAAAAGCATTAATGAGGATGTAATATGAAGTATTTCAATTTTAAATTCCGAAAACTATTTCTGCCTCCTTACTTGTTGTAAAATTGCTAATGTTTGTGGATCCAAAAAATATATATTTCCCGATTCAGTAGCCAAAACCGGGCAAGACAATGCTTTTTTGTCGTACGATGACTTCTTTATTGTGCACATACATGTAATCGATGATTCTTTTACAAGAGGTTTATATCGATATCTTTTTATAAAACTTTCCTGTGATGTTGTACACATTAGTTCTTGAGATCTGGAAAAAGAGTTAAAACTTTGAGGAATTTTATAACTTATTAACTTCTTTAAGATTATGTGATGGCAAAAATTTGCTTAAATCTGTACTCCCTTATTTTGTTTTATTGTTTAAAAATATCTTTTTCATTATGGAACTCTTTGAATGAGAAGCCGTTTACTCACCTTCCCGTAAGCAAAGTTAAAGACGTGGAATTAATTTCTTCAATACCTATATTTATACCAGAAACAACGGAGTTGTTCCCTAATTTTTCCCAGAAACTTGCTTCTACAGGCAGAATCGTAGAAGACGGTATTCGGAATTTAAAAAATGGTTTACTGTTTTTAAATATAAATAAATCTTGTCCACATGCTACTGCTACAGCTAAAGTAAATATGAAACAGAATTATATAGAGACCATTTGTTATATTTTTTTAGGCATTTCTAGTTAATAAACATTTGATAGGTTTTATAATTTCTTGACGTGAATATTTTAGTCAACTCAGAAAAAAGGCAAAAAGATAATTTAAATTTATGTATATTAACACCTTCAAGAATATGAAGATTATGGAATATAAATTTTTTATGTAAACTATTTCTAGTTTTGAAGTTGTAGTCTAGAAAACTTAGCTGTTCAAAAAATGCTGCAGGCAGGTGTATGGTTCTCGCATGTGATTTAACATATAAATTTAGCCTTACCTGGAACTCTGGGTTCTAAATGGTTTGTATAAAATGCTATTAATGAATTCGGCAAGTCGCATAAGACGATGTCCGAGGTTAAATTTCGTTTGAATGCTCTAAGACGATTTTGGAATAAATCAGCAACAACTAATTGATAATCGTCATCACCCATCACATCTATGAGGAGTAAACTTCTCGGTAAAACCGATAATTGTGAGTTTCTATTACAATGTGCTTCAAGCCATCTTGAAACATTTAACTCTCTGAAAATTAACGAATAAAAGATTTCATATTATCGACACTAATGAAAACTCGCACATCTACCGAAAATATTAGGAATCTGCGCTAGGAATAAGTAAAATGAAATTCATTCTATTGTTTTATAGTGAACTTGCTTTTTTCGTAACACTTCCACAAAACTTACCCTATGCTCATTTTTTAAATTCACGTAGTCGTTTTTCTCTAGTGTAAGCTCGTGGTTATAGACAAAATAGTAAAATAATAAAGTTATACCAAAAATGTATACCAAAATTTATAATAAATTAAATCCTTGCGCTACTTGCGAGTCGTAAATATGTTTGTATTTGTGAACCCTATACTCAAAATGCCTCCTTAGCAACGCAATATCGATCTTAAGATGAATTATACTCGTATAATATATGAAAATAAATGCTTAAATTTACAGAATAAGTATGTATCTTTCAATAATTTCAATGTAATGAGAACAGTAAAAAAATATATAAGTAAGTAAAGCCATATGATTTAATATTAATAAAAATAAAAACTTTTTTTGCAGCAATTAATTCATACCTACATCTTCCTCGTCTTGTATGAAATGTCTTTTCAAAAATACTTTCTGTAAAATCTTCGATACCATCTGACAGTTTCTCGATTATAGGTTTCTCTACGTTTTTGCACGATTCGCAGTGACAATTTTTGCAAATTTCCGTAGTAGGTACATCTCAATCCCAGAGATATTATCTCTGCTCAAGCCCCGCGTATCGTATGCTTTCTGCAGCCACTTTGTGTTTTGCAATTGCTATTTACAACCTCTTATGGAAATTTTTCTCTGAAAAAGTCTTTATAAGTCAAACTCTGTTTAACTCTTGTTTTTTTGCGCAATTTGACAGAAACAGAGTTGACAGACTTATAAAGACTTTCTTCTAAAGAGTTTTTTAGAGAAAATAAGTCTTATTTTATCTTTATTAGAAGAGAAGAGAGGATGGGAGAAATCTAAATTACAGGTAGAAATAGGTACAGCGATTAATTTTATATTTTTAAATTCTTTTGTCAACAAATATTTATACCAATTTATTACAATTGTTTTTAAAAAAATAAAGTAGGTAGTGTATTGATTTTCAAAATTAAGTAAATAAAATATTTTATTAAAAATTTCCAATTCAATTTTCTTAGCTTAAGAAATTTTTTTTACTTTTTTCGAATGTCTAGGGCGACGCCACGGCGACCCCCTTGAAACCAACTGAAAACACTTCATCATACGGTTATTTATTTGAATAAAGATATTAATAATATTAGTCATTTTAATGATTTTATTTGAGGAAATGGCATGCTCAAAAATACCTCCATTTCCACGAACACAGGCCCGACACATATTTTTAGTAACGAAAATGTAATTTGTTCGAAATTTATTGTTGCTTGATCTGATGAAAATAAGGATTTATTCTTTCTTCTAATGCTTAAAATGTGAAAGTTGCTATTGCAGCCCACTATGTCATTTTAAAAAAAGTTTGTATTTATATTCGAATATCGAAGTGTGTTCCTAGTTCGTTGATTAATGTTTACTCGAAAAACAGTTTTTTTTCGAAAAACATAATAAGAGAGTAGTAATTTGTAGAAAATTGAAAAACGAATCTGAAAATATCATGGTTGTTACCGTAAAGCAGTGGCGTACTATTTAATTTAGAAAAATTTGCCCTGTATTTCCGCCACTGGAGCATGTAAATTTTAGGAAAAGCCCTCAGGTTTTTGACAATGTTTACATAAATACATGTGCCCAATTTCAAATTATTTCACTTACCTACTAGTTTTTAAATTATTAAAAAAAAAATAAAAATATTTAACACCCTGTATCTTTTTAACGGGGCGTTCTATTAAAAACTTTATAGGAAAGACTCCCCTTAAAATTCACCAAAGAATACGAGGTTTCATTTTTGGGTACCATTTGTGAGTCACCCTGTATAAGTATGCAAATAAGCTCTCGAGAATCGAGCCGTTCTGTGCTCGAACCGGGGTAAAAACGATGTTGATAAGGAGAAATTAAACTATGGAAATTTAAACGGAGAACATATGCAACAATGCATTGCACTAAGACAGCTTTGTCTATAATTACATACATCAGATTTATCACCTAATTTGTACAGTGGAAATATATAACTCGATTTCCATTGGAAAATAATAATTAAATAAATAATTAGAAAAAATGAGATGTTTTAATAACCGATATTAAAAATAATTTTATGGTAATTGTGACGGGAACATTTTTTTAGAATTATTGTAAATGTATTTGTTTTTTATTTTAATACCTTAACGAATTTTATTAAAAAACATTGTTTGTATTTTAGAGCCCTGAGGATGGCGTAAAATAACATCGAAACGTTGGCAATGGTTCAAAATATAGTGTTCTTTTATTTATCGATCTTTATCCCACTGAAACCTTGACTCGGATTAAAAATAATTCTTAAGTGTTTAAAAAACATATGGAAATTATTAGTTACATTGTAATGTTAATTGAAATTTCCGTTTTACAAACTCAATATTAAAATAAAAAATCTATATTTTCTATATTCTATATTCTATATTCTATATTTTTAAATTTTCAGTATATGTTTATGTTGCTCTTTTAAATTCAGACAAACAAAAATTATTATATATTTTTTTGTAAAATGAGTAAGATTGAAGTAATGAGAAGATAAGTCAGTATATAATTTTTAAAATAATTACGCCCTATTAAAAATTTACATTATTCGAAAATTTTTCTAATCGGCCTAACAAACTTGGATATATCAGAAAGTTTTTTTTTGTTAAAATTTGGTATACACCCTGAATGTAAGATGGAATTTCCGCGGTTCTTCAGTAGTCGATCAAATCTGAGTTATTTTATACAGGGTGATTCACAACTTATCCAAAAAAATTTGGGAATAGATGCAGCATGAGAAATGAAATCAATATCGTAAACAAAATTTTTGTAAAATCCTTATAGTTTCCGAGAAAAAAAATATTGAAGTTATAGTACATTCAACCACTACATAGCTGGACAACTGTAGTCTCTAGCGTCATTCGCTTCGTGGGGTCAGCGACTCCGAATACTGAATTCGGATTTTGCAATCGTTGTTGCGATATTTACCTGTTATCTGTGGTGTTTACAATAGGTTTTTAGTAGTTAGTGTCAAAAATGGGTAATTATTGTGTCAAAAATGGTTCGCGTGTACTCGGAGTTGATGGATATCGTTTTAATTTATGGTTAAGCATTTGTGTTAGGATGAAACAAGACAACATTTGTGTTAGTTCGTAGAAACTGAGTACAACGGACCCAAATGTGTTTACACATTGGTGGATAAAATTTTGAACAATTGTTGTAACATCGGGTATGTCAAATGATTTTATTATTTAAAAACACAAATTAATTTTATTAATTAATAAAGGCAAAAGCAGTTGAATTTGCCGATATAAAATAGGTGCGATAAAATTCTATTTACAAATTTCTTTCCTTGCGAAAGTTTTTGTCCGTTTTTAGCACACCGCCATGCCGGTCGCATTGTGCGAGGTCAGATTTTACAGTGGACCAGTTTCCAGTGCCGTGCAGAAGTGTATTTTTAAATCATTTTCGAACTGCCCTTTTTGATTTTTTCTTTACAATATTGTATTTATAAGGGTCCCCTGTACATCCAGAACTTTTTTTATGGATAAGTTCTGAATCACCCTGTATATCTATCTATTTAAATATAGAGTAGTATTCTCCTTTTAGTTAATTTACATTGAAATTTTTTATGCATTTAAGAAATGTATTATAATTGATAATATTATATCGGACATTAAATATAGGTAGGTACAGATGAATTAATTTTATAATTTGATAATTTACTATTGGAATCACCTTTATACAAATGATTACGTTGAAACATATGTGGAATTAACTTCAGACATTTTGGAAAATAAACATACAGGGCGTTCGTTTTTAATTTTGTTAATAACTTGTACTGCCACAAAGATCGCCTTATAGATTTATATTTCATCCTTAATTTCCTTGGATTAAGTGAAACTGATTTCGATCAGGATCAGGCAAGGCAGTCTTTGTTTCAGGATGTAATTATTAACCCACTAAACACGAAACGTAAATGAAACGTTGCAAATGAGATGTTTTACTAAACATTTGAAACACTAACTAGAAACGTTTCTGTTTCATTACAGAAATGTAGCACTTGAAAACTTATTTAGTGAAACATAGCCGAAACGTTACAATTGAAGAGAGTTTGAAACATTACTCGAAACATTCCCTTTCGATCTCGGAAACATAACAGACGAACAACCCTTTGCTATTTTTGCTTATCTTATGGAACATTCGGCATTAGTTAAATTTTGCTCTCAATCCCCAATCCTTCTCAAGCGTTAGTTCATTTGCCTTTGTTATATAAAGACATAATTAGAAAAAAAAATGTGGTAGCATATTTATAACACAAGTCTAGAAAAAATGTATGTTCGTGACTTGCGTAGACTGCGCGTAACAGCCCGAGTTTATTTGTTTCCCGTGTGTCGTTTCAATTCGTATTATGTTAGGTTAGGTTTGCGGTTTGTCAGTTTGCTTGGTTTCGTTGTTATTCATCTTTACTTTGACGCTATTTTATGTGATAATTTGTAGTGTGTGCAGTTGTGGTTATTGTAAGGTGCATATAAAATAATGAATATTGATGCAAAATGTTTAAAACGATATGTGTAGAGATTTCCAATTTTGCGTCACATCTACCTAAATATAGTTATACCCACTACCTATTACAGACAAGAGGACAAGGGACAAGAACTAAGAAAATGGAACAACAACTATACGTTTCGATATAATTTGAAGAGCAACTACTTAGTCAGTGAGAACTATTTGAAATATGGATGAATCAAGTGAAATAGACGTCATTTATTTTATATTTTGTACAAATGTTTATATTTGTTTATGTGTATAGGCATGCTTAAATAAAAGAGTTTAGGTATACCTACAGATATTTACTTTGTCAAGATATCATTTTGTATCCTTATTTCTGCTGTATAATTTATTATTATTAAAAGGATATATGTAATATTGACCATGCGTAGAAGAAATTATAACTTTATATTATTTTTCAGTAATGTTATTTGTTTTTCATGTACCTACCATTTTAAGATTCATAATCATAACTAACTTTTTCTAATTATCAGTTCGTCATTGTTACCATATTCATGAAGGTCTCAACATTAGAAAATTTCCATTTCAGAAGC